TATAGTAAATTGATGGACGTTTCTCAATGATTTAGCTTGCATGATAAGCTAAGAAGTAACATATTCTCTAATAAATTCTCAATAAATCTTATACTTTTAAGGTAATATTATTTTTGGAATATCTTGTTGATAAAGCTAAAGGAGAACATCTCGTGAGAAAATATTGGTTTTAGAGAGAAAATATCTTATCAATTAATTTGTTTTAAATGCTTGATTTGAAAAGTGAAAATATCTTGTCAATTAATTTTGTTTCTCTGACATCTAAAATTTTTAATGAGTATTTAATGAATTAAACAGAAAAAGAATCGCAAAAGGATGTTCTTTGAATCGAGAAAACACAAAAGGTAAGTATTTAAATAGATTTCCTTTTTAGTAGTGTCGATGGTAAAAATAAATCAAAAAATAAATTGTAAAAAATCAACCAATAGAATCGTTAGAATTCTTCTGAGAAGGACCGTGTGAGTGCCACGTGTCAAAGTGACTTCTCTTTCAATATATAGGGGGATAAGAGCAAAATGGACCATATGGTTCTACGAAAAAATGTCAATACAGCAGATCTTGTAGGAGTATATAGACAAGACTGAGATAGAGAAGAAGAGAGAAGAAAACTAGCTACCGAAATTTTATGCAATTAGAACTTAAGCTTTACTTTTCGTCTTTGTTAAATGAGTTGTGACTCACATAGGTTTTCTTGATATGGATAATTACTCTTACAAAATTAGATAAGTTTTTTACTTACTATATTATTTTATTTCCGTTGTAATCTCGCTTCCAAATGAATGTCAGGTATGATTCTGTCTCCAGAACGGGTCATATACAAATTCAGAATAAAAGTCTTTTGTTTTTAATTTATTTTTTGTTTTATCTTATTTCATTTCCATATTTTTAATTATTATTTTATTGGTTCTGCAGAAAATCTAGAATAGTTTTGATAATGCGAATTTTGATTACTACCGCATGAAATTTTAAGTAAAATATCTTATAGTTGTTGTTTTTTATACCTTTTTACTTATTATATTATAATAGATATTTTTAAAAAGTGTTGTGTGTGCTAATCAGAGCAACTCACATTTGTTGGATATTTGGAAAAAGTTTTGGATAAAGTGGACCACAAAGACACATATAGAGAGTAGAGGGAGACAAAACGTATTATGGTTAGTACTTTTTGATAAATATTTTATATTTGTAAATATATTACTATAATATAGCGGACCAGATTCTGACACAAATCAATTGTACACAAAATATGTGTTTATTTTAGAGTATTTGCATCCTATACACTAACTAAACCCAAAAATTAACTATCTACCCTTTTTCTCTCTTATCTCTCCTTCCCCCCCTCTTACTATTTTTCCCCCAAAACTATGGTACATTGCTAATATCCAAGTTTTCTATGGATTATAAGCCAATTCACCCTTTATTTTATATTTTTTCCCTTTTTCTGTTATAAAAACAAATTAATATTTAACAGTAAATATCGATCGAATATGATCTACACCGGAGATACAAAGTACTAAAGTGGAATTATACAGCAAAATCAGATACTGCCGACATAGAAAATTAAAGCCCACCGTTAACTAGTATGTTACTCTCCCACTCATCGCTATACCACACCGGACCCACCCGTGCGTATTTTTCGGCCGGTAAGAACGGATCCCGACAAATCGGACACGTCAACTTGCGGCAATCCACAATCCAACGGTCCAAGCAATGATTATGAAACACATGCCGACAGTTCGGAAGCTGCCTAATGTTATCATCGGACTCAAAATCAGAGAGACACACCGTGCAGCAGTCTTCAAGATCGGTCTGAATATCCGAGAAACGAACCACTGGGGAAATCTTGTCAGCAAGACTCACGGCCGTGAGGGTTTCGGGTCTGATTGGGTCCGGTCGAGGAATCTCGTGGTCTAGAAATCGAGGTAAACCTATGTAAGGACAAAGAGCATCGAACACGTCTCTAAAGAAACCGATGACGTAAAGTGTCCTAAGTACGTATCCTGGAATCTGAAGCTCCTTAAAATCTGCCGGAAGACCCATTGAGGATAGGGTGAGAAAAGAGATAAAGCTAGAGATGTGGAATATACAGAGACAAGTATAACTGTATATATATAGATGCTAAGATTTTTAGTTGTATAAAAAATAAAAAATAAAAAGATAAAGCATAATATGGTTGAAGCCGGCGGCTAAAGATAGAGACTGCAAAATGAAATGGATCAACAATGGCGGGTATTATATTAATATATATGACTTTTGACTAGATTAGTGGAATCTTCAGATGGTCTCATAAAAGTCAATGATTTAGCAACTAGTAGAAGAATATGATTGGAATAGTAAACAAGAAACGTCTCTTCGTAAATATATGTCTAAAACGGTATAATCGATTTTATAGCAAATAGGGATGTAGCTCAGATGGTAGAGCGCTCGTTTAGCATGTGAGAGGTACAGGAATCGAGATCCCGCATCTCCATTGTTATGGCTGTTTTACCTTTTTTATATTAATCTAAAATATTTGTTATATTTCATTTGTTTGATTCCTTATTCACTTTACATAAGTGATGGTAAAATTTGGTTTAATCTTTCTACGCCAAACAAACAAAACATCAACTAATATGAAACAAATAAGTCTCTCTACCAACCAAACGCTATCACCTCTCTCTAAAACCACCACCATCCCGGATTTCCGGTGCCGCTTCCCTCTTTCCTTTCCTATTTTCCCTTTGCTTTCTTCCTACCTACCCTTTCCATAGTCAATATACTCGCTGCTCTGGGCTTTCCGCGAATAAATCGGAGTCTCGTCTCGAGCCAATGGTGTTAGGATCCGACGTTTTTTAGAGGAGCAATGAGGCTTGTGAGAAGGCTGCGAAGGAGATAGTCAGCTTTTAGGGTTTTGGAGTGGTCAGATCTTCGGAGATTCCGAGCTGACGGCAGAACATAACTTGTCCAGATATCTGTTGAAGTCGGTAAACCGGATCGAATAAACGATAAAATAGAAACGGAGTTAAGGAAATAGATGACTCATAAAGAAAATAATAAAAATAATAAGACATGAAGTCGAGATATAATCTCTTTCCTTAACTCTGAATATTTGCTCCGTAGTGAGACAAAACTGCACGGATATAGAGTCCCATAATAAAACCATGGCGACGATTCACGTTTCACGTTTCACTCGTGAATCGACCTGACGAACAAAGTATAAATGAAACATTCTCTAGACTTACGCTTGGGAGTTTTTGCTGGATTTCTGTATGTGAAAAAACGTTAGGAATGAATGAGGAGGAAACAAGTTATTTAAAGAAGAAATGAGAGTTCAAATTTCGCAACTGACAAAGCACGTTCCAAAGATCTCTCGTAAATCTCGAGAGGGGAGAGTTGAGAAACTTTCTCCGCAGGATTTTCTGTTTGACTCGTTCTGATCTTTTGATAAACAAAAAAAACTTCGTGTTGTTTTAAGACGAGCTTCATGTCGTTTCAAAAGACATCATGTTGTTTTTCACTTAGAAATAACAAAGCATTGAGCTTAACTTGGTCCAAAAAGCTAACTACTTATCGGGCCAGAGGCTCTCCACCCAAGCCCAAGCCCACGCCGAACCTAGCCGGCCGGATGGCGGCGGCGGCGCACGCGTGGGGAGCCACCTCTACTCCCAAGCTGTTTAAGCCATGGTAATAAGATGACATATATATACTCCTCTCTCATGCAATTGTTCCTCGATGTGGGATTTTGCATAATGTCAACTTGACATTTAACCCATTCTGGGCTTTAGCCCATGACATTTCTTTTCACAATTTTCTTACAACCATTTCACTTTAGAATTAGATCCAACAATCCCCCAGATGAATAGAAATGACTATAAACATATGCATACTATATGCAGACTCGATAGACTCTAAAAAAATAATTATTCTAAGCCTGACTAGACTAGACAGACTTATCGAGAGTGTTTGCGAAAAATTCACTGTGTTTGAGTTGGTGGCATTTTAAGCCTTGAACCACTCATAGTTAATATCTGTCGGGTTTACTTTACCCGAAGATGAACATGATGTCTTGAACCAACTGAGGTTTTATGTAAACCGAGACAACAAGCATAACACAGCTTCATTTTCTCGTAGAACTTAGTTCTCTATTGTGTTCATTGTGGCCCTGAACTATTCATGGTTTTCATGAGTGAACTTAGAGAATATAGTCTTGCATTCATTCTTCTAGAAATGGTCTCATTTCACACTCACTAGATGATTGACCATGAAAAGTATTGAGTAATACATCGCTTTAGAAGCTATGGAATCATTAAAAGCTTATGCTTATCCTTCTCACATTCGTTAGCATTTTTATCATCTTAGGAGATGGGAAGAGACTACTTGTCTCAGGTGTTTTGGTTAGATTTTGTTAGATTTTGTTTTCCCTTTGAACCTACGTCTTAGGATCTCCAGTCATGATAAGTAGGGTTGCAATAAAACATCTTCTTTTGTAATATGCTTTGAACTCATTCCTTTTGATGATAGCAGCAATATCTCGTGGCAAAACTTTAGTAAATGGATCAGCTAGGTTGTCAGCTGATTTAATGTTGTCTATTGTGATTACACCAGTTGAGATAAGTTGTCTAATGGTTTTATGTCGTCTTCTGATGTGACGAAATTTACCATTGTAGAGATTATTCTGACCTTGAGCTATAGCTGATTGACTATTACAATGTATACGTATAGCTGGCACAGGTTTATCCCACATAAGAATATTTTCCAAGAAGTTTCTAAGCCACTCAGCTTCTTCTGCTGCTTTGTCTAAGGCTATAAACTCAGATTTCATGGGGGATATGGCTAGAACTGTTTGTTTGGTAGATTTCCATGATATTGCTGCTCTACCTAGTGTAAAGACATATCCACTTGTGGATTTTGAGTTTTTAGAATCTGATATCCAGTTAGCGTCACTGGATCCTTCTAAAACTGCTGTTTTTTTTACCAAAGTGATGTCCAAAATCTTTGGTGTAGCGCAAGTAATTGAGTACTCTCGTTATAGCTTTCCAATGTGTAAGACCTGGATTACTTGTATATCGACTAAGTACGTTTATTGTATGCGCTAGATATGGTCTGGTGCAATTGGTCTAGTTCATGAGACTTCCAATCACACGTGCATACTCGTTTTGAGAAACTGCTTCCCCTGAGTTCTTTGTCAAGTGCATTTGGGGATCTAATGGAGTTTTTGCCGTACTATTAGAGTAATTTTTAAATCTCTCTAATATTGTATAAGCATAATGAGATTGAGTTAATGTAATTCCATTTGAATTTCTTGTGACTTTAACTCCGAGAATTACATCTGTTAATCTCAAGTCTTTCATCTCAAATTTTCCTTTGAGCATGTTCTTTGTTTGATTGATAATTTCTTTATTGCTTCTAATAATGAGCATATCATCTACATATAGACATAACCAAACATACACATTTTTTGTAGTTTATCACACTCATTAATTTTGAAACCATCTGACATCATTGTATTGTCAAATTTTTAGTGCAATTGTATAGGAGCTTGTTTAAGCCCATAAAGTGATTTTACAAGTCGACATACTTTGTCTTCCTACCCAGGAATAACAAAATCCTTCGGTTATTTCATGTAAATTTTCTCTTCTAAATCACCATTTAGAAAAGCAGTTTTTACATCCATTTGATGGATTTCTAGGTCTCTTAAGGTTGTGATTGCTATCATCAATCTTATTGATGTTATTCTCGTTACTGGAGAATATGTATCAAAATAGTCATGGCCTTATTTTTGTCGGAATCCTTGAACTACAAGCCTAGATTTGTATTTTCCACCAGGTTTTTCGTGTCATTATCCATTTATTCCTAATGGTTTGTAGCCAGCTGGTAAATATGTTATGTACCATGTATAATCTTTTATGATAGAATCAAATTCACTTCTGACAGCTTCAGTCCAAAACGGAGCTTCTGGTGAAGTCATGACCTCTGCCAAAGTTTTTGAAACATTTTCTACTAGAAATGCCATTAAGAAATCTTCTCCAATTGATTTTTCTTTCCGAGCTCTTTTGCTTCTTCTTTGTTCATCTTTTTCTTTTTCTGAAATATCATTTAAAGAATTATCAACATTTGTCTCAATTTCTGAAACATTTTCGTCGTCTTTTTCTTCTCAAGTTCGTTTTGAACCTTGTTTTTCCTTGCAAGTAAAAATATTTTCAAAGAAAGATACATTTTTTGATTCCATTACAGTATTTTCATGAATATCTGATATTTCAGATTTATGTACCAGAAATCGATAATCACTACTGTTATGTGCATATCCGATGAAGATGCAATCCACTGTTTGAGGTCCAATAATGACCTTTTTGGTGGTGGTACCGCAACTTTTGCTAAGAACCCCCCCCCCACTTTGAGGTATTTATACGGTGGTAAATTACATTTCCATAATTCATATGGAGTTTTGCCAGTTAGTTCGTGTGGAATTTTGTTGAGGATATGGTAAGCAGCGTTTCCTCCCACATATTCTAGGGTAACCCAGATTCCGGCAACATTGCATTCTTCATCTCTTTTAGAGTTCGATTTTTGCGTTCAGCAACTCTATTATATTCTGGTGAGTAAGGAGCTGTAGTTTGATGAACTATTTCATGTTCTTTACATAATTCATTGAATGGCCCATCATACTCACCTCCTCTATCACTTCTAACTATCTTAATAGTTGTTTTAAGCTGATTTTCTATTCGAGTTTAAATTCTTTGAATATTTCTAAGGTTTCATCTTTGCTATGTAATAAGTATACATAACAATATTTTGTGCAGTCATATATGAAAGTCACAAAGTACTTCTTACCACCTCTAGTTTGTATGTATTTTAAATCACATGAATCGGTGCAAATTAAATCTAGAGGTTTCTTAGTTCTTTCAACATGAGGTAAGGGTGTTTATGTGAGCTTAGCATGTACGCATACTTTACACTTTTGTTTACTTGTTTTACATTTTGGGATTAGATTTATATTCATTAATCCATCCTTGACATACCCCTTTCCCAAATACATCCCATTCTTCCTAATCATGAGCTTGTCCACCTCAAGAGATGTGGCGAATCCATTCTTGCTGAGAAAGGTTCCCGAGATCAAGTTCTTCCTCATGTCAGGCACATGCTTCATATTCTGCAGAGTGACTTCACATCCAAATGTCATCTTCAGAATCACCTTGCCGTGGCCTTCA